TTCATTACAGCTGCTCTTCTTTTCCTGCCATCTTCAAGATCCATGCTGGCACCTGTTCAGGCTGAACACTAGGAGGTATTTTTCCTTCCACCAGGTTTTCTTATGGCAGGTTTTCTTCCTTGAGTGGCTAATAATTTTTAGACCTGGTAACATGAAAGAAACCTGGCATCATGGCATGTGCAAAATAGGTGCTTCGTAAGCAGGATGGTGGTAGGGGTTACGATGCTGTTGAATCAGTCAGTGGTTACAAAAACCCAAGGATGTTATCAAGACAGGGATGTAGTAGCAATTGGATCTTGCTGAAGTTGGGATCTTTCCAACTTCGTAGTCATTCCAAGAGCAGTCACGGTGCGTCCCCCTCCCCCTTCCCGTCTCTCTCCTCTTCCCACCCTCTTTTTCTTTCATGATCTCTCACCACAACTCTAATATTCTTTTTGCTTCTGATGTTACTCTATGATATTTTAAGATATAAAATGTATTATACAGTCTGGGAATGCCACATGCATGGCATCTGATTTTCATTTCATGGGCTTTTTAAAATCCTATTTTCTATTTCTTCTTTTGAGAAAAGGACAGTAACAGATTATTAGGAGATTGAATTTTGAAATTATAACTCAAGAAAGAATGAACAACTTAGTAGTGACTCCAAAAGGGCCACATAATGTCCTCTCTTAGAAGCAAGGTTTTTGTTATTGAAATGGAACCAAGTTAAATTTGTAGTGCATGTTGACTCCCTTCTGTGTGTAGGCCTGGGGGCAGGTGCTAGCTTCAAGGGACCTGCAATGGCATAGACAAACTATTGGATTTAGCGTTCCAAGTGTGATGATGGTGTTGGCTAAGGCAAGGTGGTGTGGGAGCATGGAGGAGGCCCCACTTTCTTTTACATTAAAGAAAGAAGATTGGCCCTTCAGCTTTAGGGACTGGAAAGTTCCAGCAAGTTAAAAATTTGGCATAAAATATAGTTTTGTCATTGGTAATATTTTAAGAGCCTACATGGAGGCAGATTTAATTCTGTGATGAACAAAATGAATTAAATTCTGCTAGCTTTTTTGTTGTTGTTGTTCAGAGATAGAGTCTCACTCTGTTGCCCAGGCTGGAGTGCAGTGATGTGATCTCAGCTCACTGCAACCTCCGCCTCCCAGGTTCAAGAGATTCTCCTGCCTCAGCATCCTGAGTAGCTGGGATTACAGGTGCCCGCCACCACACCTGGTTAAATTTTGTATTTTTAGTAGAGACAGGGTTTCACCATGTTGGCCAGGCTGGTCTCAAACTCCTGACCACTTTGGTCTCCCAAAGTGCTGAAATTACAGGAGTGAGCCATCACACCTGGCCTCTGCTAGCATTTCTAAATGAACTCTTTATTTTAGGATAGCTTTAGATTTATAGAAAAGTTATAAGCAGAGAAGGTTCTCATAGACACAGTACCCAGTTTCCCCCATTATTACCATCTTACATTAGTATGGTACATTTGTCTCGACTAATGGACCAATATTGATACATCGTTATTAATTAATGGCCATGCTCTGTTGGAATTTCCTTAGTTTGTTCCTGAAGTCCTTTCTGTTCCAGGTTCCCATGCAGGGTAATCTCTAGTTATTCCAGCTCCTCAGGCTCCTCTAGGCTGACAATATTCCCTGTTTTTGATGATCTTGACAGTTTTGAGGAATACTGGTTAGAGAGTTCATTGACTGTCCTTCAAGTTGGCTTCATCTGATGTTTTTCTCATGGATAGACTCAGGGTATGGGCCTTAGGGAGGAAAGCACAGAGGTCAAGTGCCATTCTCATCGCATTGGCACATCCCGTCCAAGAGTGCATCCTGTCAACATGGCTCATCACTGTGCATGTTGACCTTGGCCACCTGGCCGAGGGAGTGTTGGTCAAGTCTCTCCACTGGAAAGTTACTTCTCACTGGGCTGTTAGAAGGAGGTCAGTATGTGCCAGCCACATTTAAGGAGTGGCAGGTTATGTTCTACCTTCTTGAGGTTGGGGTAGCCACATAAATTATTCAGAATACAGCTACATGGGGATTTGTCTGTTCTCTTCATTTATGTATTTACTCAATCATTTATTTATATATACTGTAGCGTAAACTTACAGATATTTGTTGCATACTTTGTGTTATAATCAAATACTATGTTATTTGTTTTTTGGCTCAAATTGTTCCAGCCTTGGCCTTTGGGAGCTCTTTCGGTTAGGTCCTGTGTCCATTTGACTCGCTTCCACCGAAGTAGTGTCTTTTGGTTTTGCTGTTGCCTGAGCACATCTTTACTTTCTGGCACCACAGAAGACTCCAGACTCATGTGTGTTCCCTGCCCCAGCCCTGTGCACTTCGGTTTCCCCAGGAAGCCTGCTTCCTTCTGTTGTATGATGGCATTGGAAACCAAGGTTCAGGCCTTGGGTGTCCCTGCTTCAGCCTCTCTCAGCAGACAGAGCTCAGAAGCATGTGTTTATACTAACCTGTATATGTATATGTATTTGTAATTACATATCTGCATCTGTGTTAAGGCAAACCTGAGTCTACACTGATGTCCCTGCTCCAGTGGTACATGGTTCATTCCCGCCTTCTCCCCTTGCTTATCCATCACCTCCCTCTCCAACAGTGAGAGACCTGCCATCCTCCATCCTTTTACTTAATTGTTCCATCCTGGTGTTCATGTGTAGTGGTTTCAGAATTGCTAGCCCCCACCTTTGTGGGAAGCAGCCTTACTAACTCGAATGCAGTGCTGATGTGCGGTCCTGTATCTTTAGCTGTACATCTCTCCTCATTTCCAGTATGACTTAGGTCAGCACCTTCCTGCCCCCACCACCTTCAGTGAGGCTGTCATATGTTTCTTATATAATCTTTGTTCCATTATTGAGTTTCCCCATATCCTTCTTGGTTTTACTTGAATACTTTAAGATATACTCTTGGTATAAGGGTCTCTGGGCTTTAAAAGGCCTCATGTCACATGTCCCCCATGACGGTGTCTTACAGAATAGTTTTATCACCATAGAAGACCTCCTGTGTCTTGCCTATTCAACCCCCACCCTGCAACCTTTGACAAGCACAATGGATTTTCTGTCTTTAGTTTACCTTGACTCAAATGTCATATAAATGCCATCATCCAACATGGAGCCTTTCACACTTGCTGCTTTCCCTTAGCAATGTGGATTTCAGGTGTGGATTGGTTCATTCCTTTGATCACTGACTCATGTTTCATTGTGTGGATGGGCCAATTTGTTTATCTGTTCACCTATCAGAGGACATCTTGGTCGCTTCCAGTTTTTGACGACTGTATATAAAGCAGCTATAAATATTTACATGCGGGTTTGTGTAGGCATAAGTTTTCAGATCAATTGGGTAAATACCTAGTGTCAGTACAATTACTGGATCATATGGTAAAACTATATTTAGCTTTATAAGAAACTGCCAGACTGTCTTCCACAGTGGCTGTACAGTTTTTCATTCCCACCAGCAAGGAATGAGAGTTCCTGTTGCTCGGTATCCTGGCCAGCAGTTGGTATTTTGTCTGTCTTTTTGGATTTCAGCCATTCTAATAGGTGTATAGAAGTATCTCATTATTGTTTTAATTTGCATTTCCCTAATGACAAATGATGTTGAGCATCTTTTCATATGCTTATTTGCCATCTGTATATATCTTCTTTGGTGAAGTATCTTTTCAGATCTTTTGCCCATTTTTTAAATTGGGCTGTTTGTCTTCTTACTGTTGAATTTGAAGAGTTCTTTTTATATTCTTTATACAAGTCCTTTATCAGATATGTGATGTGCAAATATTTTCTCCCAATCTATGCCTTGTATTTTAATCCTTTTAAGTGCTTTTGCAAATTCTGAAAAATGTAAATGAAGTCTAAGCTATTAGTTTTTTTCTTTCATGGATTGTGCTTTTGGTATTATATCTAAAAGCTCATCACCAAACCACTTTCTTCTAGAAGTTTTATAGTTTTGCATTTTAAATTTAGGTTTATGGGCCATTTTGAGTTAATTTTTATGTAGGGTGTGAGGTTAGTGTCTAGGTTCCCTTTGTTGAAAAGATGATGTTGGCGGCGCATGGTGGCTCACACCTGTAATCCCAACACTTTGGGAGGCCTAGCTGGGCAGATCGCCTGAGGTCAGGAGTTCAAGACCAGCCTGGCCAATGTGGCAAAACCCCGTCTCTACTAAAAATACAAAAATGAGTTGGGCATGGTGGCCAGCACCTATAATCCTAGCTACTCAGGAAGCCGAGGCACAAGAATCACTTGAACCCAGGGGACAGAGGTAGCCGAGATCATGCCACTGTACTCCAGCCTGTGCAAGTGAAACTGTCTCAAATAAAGAGAGAAAGAAAAAGGAAAAGATGATCCTTTCTCCAAGGAATTGCCTTTATACCTTTGTCGGTGCTGCTGGTATTTCAAAATTCATGTCCTTTTCCTTTCTATGTAGCTTAAGTTCCATAAAACAGTGGTCCCAGCCTTTTTGTCACCAAGAAAACTGTGGAAGACAATTTTTCCACAGAAGTGGGGGTGGGTGGTGGGGATGGTTTTGGGATGATTCAAACATATTACGTTTATTGTGTACCTTCTTTCTACTATTATTACATTGTAATATATAATGAAATAATTATACAACTCACCATAATGTAGAATCACAGGTAGTCCTGAGCTTGTTTTCCTGCAATTAGATGGTCCCATCTAGGGGTGATGGGAGACAGTGACAGATCATCAGGCATTAGATTCTCATAAGGAGTGCTCAACCTAGATCCCTCACATGTGCAGTTCATAAGGCAGTTGGCACTCCTATGAGAATCGAATGCCGCCACTGATGTGACTGGAGGCAGAGCCCCGGTGGTAGCATGTGTGATGGGTTATAAATATACACGAAGAGTTGCTTACTCCCTCACTGCCCACCTCCTCCTGCTGTGTGGCTTCATCTTCCTAATAGAGGGTTGGGGGACCCCTGCTGTAAAATGTTACTTTTATGGAGGGGAAGGTCTGATGGCCTTTTCTGCTTGTCTTACAGCAAGACCACTGATGCAGACCCTGCCTTTAAGAACCACTGTCAACAACGGCACTGTGTTACCAAAGAAACCTAGTGGCTCTCTACCTTCCCCTTCCGGGGCCAGGAAGGAAACTGCTATGCCAGCAACCAAAAGGTGAGCCAGGAGAAGGGCCTTAAGTGAACTCCAAAAGCAGTTCTCTCTCAGATTTTAAAATGAGTATCACTTTTTAAAATGACATTGTACAATTTCTTCTGAGTTGAAAGCTTATAAAAGTCCATTTCATATGTTGCCATAACAGGAGCTAGTTAAGTTTGTTATTCTTCTTGTTTTAGATTTAATTGTGTTGTCTTTGAAATCTCATGGGCTAAAACCACAGTGTGCTGTTTTGTATTTTTACTTAAAGTTCTCTTTTGAAAAAACAAATGTTAGTATAACCTGGGTAAAAATAAATAGCTGTTCCCAAGCCCATACTGGGAACATGGCAAAATTCAGATTGCCATGGCAACCTTAGATTTTTCTCTATGCAATTTGGACAAGCTCATACTTTCAAAATGTACCTAACAGTAGAGTCTAGATATTGACGTTATCTGTCACAAAGAGCACAGTTTGCTCTTAACTTTGGTATTATTTTGTAATTGTCATTTAAAGGTTTTATATTTTAGGGCCAGGTATGGTGGCTCACCCCTGTAGTCCCAACACTTTGGGAGGCCAAGGTGGGTGGATCACTTGAGCTCAGGAGCTTGAGACCGGCCCAGCTTAACCATTTTTAAGTGTAGAGTTCGGTAGTGCTGGCTGGGTGCGATGGCTCACGCCTGTAATCCCAGCACTTCAGGAGGCTGAAGTGGGCAGATCACCTGAGGTCAGGAGTTTGAGACCAGCCCGACCAACATGGCGAAACCCCATCTCTACTAAAATATAAAAATTAGCCAGGCATGGTGGCACATGCCTGTAATCCCAGCTACTTGGGAAGCTAAGGCAGGAGAATCACTTGAACCTGGAGGCCAAGATCACACCATTGCACTCCAGTAGTGGTGACAAGAGTGAAACTCCATCTCAAAAAAAAAAAAAATAAAAGAGTTTAGTAGTATTAAGTATATTCACACATCTATTGTGTTACAATAGATCTCTAGAACTTTTTCATCAGGCAAAATAGAAACTCCAGACCCATTAAACAGCAACTCCCCCTCTGCTCTCACCACCTTCCTTGGCAGCCACCTCTCTACTGTTTGTCACCATGATTCTGACTACGTTAGGTATTTCATAGAAGTGGGATCATCTGGGCAGTGCCTGTCCTTTTGTGACTGGCTTATTCTGCTTAGCTCAATGTCATTGACATGCATCCTTTATAGCATGTGACCGATTTTCTTTTTAAGTCTGGATAATACTGCATTGTATGTGTATATCATATTTTGCTTTTTATTTTAATTTTAGATTCAGGGGGTACATGTGCAGGTTTATTACAGGGTGAATTTGTGATGCTGAGGTTTGGGCTTCTGTTGATCCTGTTTAGATAGTGAACATAGTACCAAACAGGAAGTTTTTCAGCCCTTAACCCCCTCCCTCCCACCCCTCTTCTGGAGTCCCCGGTGTCTGTTATCCCCATCTTTATCATATTTTGTTTATCCATTCATCCGTCAGTGAATATTTTGTACCATTTATCTGCATGTGTGTCTTTACGGTCAATATCTCACCATCTTGATTACTATTGCTTTTTAGTATGTTTCAAAATCAGAAGATGGGAGGCCAACTGCATTCTTCTTTTTCGTGATTGTCTTGGCTATTTAGGGTCCCTTGAGATTCCATATGAATTTTAGGATAGCTTTTTTTTAATTTCTACAAAAAATGCCATTGGGATTTTGATAGAGACTGTGTCAAATCTGCATATCACTTTGAGTAGTATGGACATTTTAGCAATATTAAGTCTTCCAATTCATAAACATAGTATGTCTTTCTCTTTTTTTTTTTTTTATGTATTTTCTTTTAGCAAGGTGTTGTAGTTCTCAGGGTATAAGTCTTCTATCTCCTTGGCTAAGGTTATTCCTAAATATTTTATCCTTTTTGATGCTATAGTAAATAGAATTATTTTCTTAACTTCCTTTTCAGATTGGTCATTATTATTGTATAAAAATGCATCTGATTTTTGTGTGTTGGTTTTGTATCCTGAAACTTTGTTGAAATTATGTATTAGTCCTCACAGTTTTTTTGTTTTTTTTTTCTGGAATCTTTAGAGTTTTCAAAGTATAATGTTCTGTCGTCTGTAGACAAAGAGTTTTACTTTGGATCCTTTCCAATTTGGATGCCTTTCATTTCTTTCTCTTGTCTAATTGCTCTGGCTAGGACTTCGAGTACTATGTTGAATAATAGTGGCAAGAGTGGGTATCTTGCCTTCTTCCTGCTTTTAGAGGAAAAGCTTTCAGTCTTTTACCATTGAGTAGTATTTGCGCTATGGCCATTCAAATATGGCATTTATTACATTGAGGGGGTTTCCTTCTATTCCTAGTTTGTTGTGTTTTTATCATGAAAGGGTGTTGCATTTTGTCAAATGCTTTTTCTGTATCTGTTGATCATGTGGTTTTTGTCCTTTATTCTGTGAATATTGTATCATATTGGTTGATTTTGTGTTGAATCATTCTTGCATTCCAAATATAAATCCCAACTGGTCATGGTATATAATCCATTTAGATGCTGTTGAATTCAGTTTACTAGTATTTTGTTGAGGAATTTTTCAACATTCATCAGGGATATTGGTGTATAGTTTTCTTTTCTTGTGTCTTTGGCTGGTTTTGGTATTAGAATAATGCTGACCTCATGCAATGATTTGGAAGTGTTCCCACCTCCTCAATTCTTTGGAAGAGTTTAAGGAGGATTGGAATTTATCCTTATTTAAATGTTTGATAGAATTCTCCACTGAAGCCATCGGGTCCTGGGCTTTTCTTTGTTGGGGAATTTTTGATTACTGCTTCAGTCCCCTTACTAATTCTAGGTCTGTTCATATTTTTTGTTTCTTTATGATTCGGTACTGGTGGGCTCTTTGTTTCTAGGACTTAATCATTTGCTCTGTGTCACCCAATTTGCTGGCATATACGTGTTCACAGTGGTCTCTTAGAGTCCTCATTTTTGTTATATCAGTTGTAATGTCCTTTCATTTCTAATGTTAGTTATTTAAATTATCTCCTTTTTTCCTACATTAGTCTAGCTAAAGTTTTTTCAATTTTGTTGATTTTTTTTTAAAAAAAGAAACAACTCTTGGTTTTGTTGATTTTTGTTTTTAACATTGTTTTCTATTATCCATTTATCTCTGCTCTAATCTTTATTATTTCCTTCCTTCTGCAAACTTTTGGTTTTGTCTTCTTTTTCTCGTTCCCTGAAGTATAAGTTAGGAGGCTGATGTGAGACCTCTCTTCTGTTTATGGAAACACTGATCACTCTAGACTTCCCTCTTCGTACCCCTTTCACTGCCTCCTGTAAGTTTTGGTATGTTGGTGTTTTCATTTTCACGTGTCTCCAGATATTTTTTACATTTGTCTGTGATTTCTTCTTTGACTATTGATTGTTTAAGAGTGAATTGTTTAAAGATTGACTTTCTATTGTAGTAAATACCGGCATGCCTCATTTTATTGTGTCTGGCTTTATTGTGCTTCACAGACCACATTTTTTGCAAAGTAGAGGTGGCAGCAACCCTGTGTTGAGCAAATCTGTCAGCATCATTTATCCAACACGTACTCGCTTCATGCCGCATTTTGGTAATCCTCACAGCATTTCAAACTTTTTGTTATCATTATGTCTGGTGTGGTGATCAGTGATCTTTGGTGTTAGTACTGTAATTGTTTTGGGTCACCCATAGAAGGTGGCAAACGAATCCATAAATGTGGTTTATGTCCTGACTGCTCTGCCCATTGTTTCACCATCTCTTTCCTTCTCCATTGGCCTTCCTTTTCCCTGAGGCACAACAATATTGAAATCAGGCCATTTGGTGACCCTATAATGGCCTCTAAGTGTTCAAGTGAAGCAAGAGTCATATTTTTCTCACTTTAAATCAAAAGCTAGACTGATTCAGCTTAATGAGGAAGGTACGTCAAAAGCCAGGATAGACCATCAAGTGGTTTAGATGTTTGTCTCCTCCAAATTTCATGTTGAAATGTGTTCCCCAGTATTGGAGATGGGCCTGGTAGAAGGTGTTTGGGTCATCAGGGTAGATCCTTCATGAATGTCTTTGTGCTGTCCTCACAGTAAGTGAGTTCTTGCTCTGAGTTCACACAAGGTCTGGTTGTTTAAAAGAGCATGGCACCTCCTCCCCACTTACTTCCTCTCTTGCCAAATGACGTGCCTGCTCCTCTCTTGTCTTCTGCCATGATTGAAAACTCCCTGAGGACACACCAGAAGCTGAGCAGATGCTGGTGCCATGCTTCCTGGACAGCCTGCAGAACTGTGAGGCAATTAAACCTCACAATTCTTTATAAATTGCCCAGCCTCTGGTATTCCTTTATAACTGCACAAAACAGACCAACACAGGCATATTGTGCCAATTAGCCAAGTTGTAGATGCAAAGAAAATGTTCTTGAGGGAAATTCAAAGTGCTACTCCAGTAAGCACATGAATGATTTAAAAAAAGTGAAACATCCTTATTGCTGATACCGTAAAAGTTTGAATGCCCTGGATAGAAGATCAAATCTGCCATAACATCCCCTTTAGCCGAGGCCTAATCCAGAGTAAAAAAAAAAAAAAAAAAAAAGCAAAACATCCTTATTCCTGATAAGGAGAAAGTTTGAGTGGTCTGAATCAAGGATCATACCAGTAACAAGATTCCCTTAAGCCAAAGCCTAATACAGAGCAAGGCCCTAAGTCTCTTCAATTTATGAAATCTGAGAGAGGTGAGGAAGCTGTAGAAGAAAAGATTGAAGCCAGCAGAGGCTGGCTCATGAGCCTTAAGGGAAGATGCCGTCTCCGTAACATAAAGGTACAAGGTAAAGCAGCAGGTGTTACTGTAGAAGCTGCTACAGCTTGCGCAGAAGACCTAGCTAAGATAATTGATGAAGGCAGATATGCTAAATAACATATTTTCAATGTAGATAAAACAGCCTTATATTGGAGAAAGGTGCCATCTAGGACTTTTATATGAATAGTCAATACCTGGCTTCAAAGCTTCAGAGGACAGGCTGACTCTTGTTAGGGCCGGATGTGGCTGGTGACCTTAACTTGGAGCCAATGCTTGTTTATCATTCCAGAAATCCTAGGGCCCTGAATAAGTATGTTAAATCTCTGCCTGTGCTCTATAAATGAAAGAAAGCCTAGATGACAGCACATCTGTTTATAGCAGGGTTTACTGAATATTTTGAGCCCATTGTTGAGGCCTACCGCTCAGAAGAAAAAGCTTCCTTTCCAAATATTACCATTCATTTACAGTATACCTAGTCACCCAGGAGCTCTGATGGAGCAGCACAAGAAAATTAATGTTTTTATGCCTGCTCACACAACACACATTCTGCAGCCCTTGGATCAAGGAGTAATTTCAACTGTCAAGATTTATTATTTAGGAAATACATTTCATAAGGCTATTGCTGCCATTGATAGTGATTCCTCTAATAGATCTTGGCAATGTCAATTGAAACCCTTCTAGAAAGGATTCAACATTCTAAATGCTTTTAAGAACATTTGTTGGGCCAGGTGCAGTGGCGCACACCTATAATCCCAGCATTTGGGGAAGTCAAGGCAGGAGGATCATCTGAGGCCAGGAGTTTGAGACTGCAGTGAGCCATGATTGCGCTACTGCACTCTAGCCTGGGCAACAGAGCAAGACTCTGTCTCAAGGAAAAAATAAAAGAACATTTATGATTCATGGGAGGAGGCCAAAATATCCACATGAACAGAGAAGCTTGGAAGAAGGTAATTTCAGCCCTTATGGATGACTTTGAGATAGTTCAAGACTTCACTGGAGAAAGTCACTGCAAATGTGATGGAAATAGCAAGAGAACTAGCATTCGAAGTGCAGCCTGAGGATGGGACTGAGTTGCTACAATCTCCTGATGAAACTTCAGTGGATGAGGAATCACTGCAAAAAAAGTAGTTTCTTGAGGTGGGATCTGCTCTGACAGAAGATGCTGTGAACACTGTTGAAATGACAACAAAGGGTTTCAAGTAGCACAGAATCCCTGATGAAGAGGTGGCAGGGTCGTGTGGCTGGAGAGTGGAGAACATGGCCTGGGTTGTCTGGCTCCAGAACCTGTGCACCGCCCACTGTGCTTGGCTGCTTCCCGCACAGATTTCCAGGTCAGCCCCTACATCTGCTCAGGAAAAATGCTTGATGTAATTACTGCTTGCAAATCATCCTTTTATGCCCCATCCTGTCTGTGTAGTATTTGTGGGAAGCAGGAGCAGCCGTCAGTAGTGAGGGTGACTCTGAGCAGAGATTTCTCAGATTGCAAGCCCAACGTTGATAAGGGAGAGCCAGGGTGAAACACCAAGTAAAGAAACAAGTCCTGGCTATGAACAGAGGACTGGGTCTTATACCCCCACATTTCAGCCGCATGTGAAAGGGCTGATGGGTAGCGATTACTCTCAGCACTATTATCTTAGAAAAAAAAGGAGGGAGGAAGAGAGCAAGACAGGAAGGAACGAATGAACACATGAAAAATTATGATGGGTAGCCATCATGTTGTATATAAGTGTGTACGTTTGTGTACTAGCATTTAAATGGTAACTCTCCTCCCAGAAACATTCTAAGGCCTCTGTAGAGTTTTCCTTATAATTTACAGCATATCCATTTGATTAATAAGCTGTTGTCAGCATATAGCTGCCAACTAGAAATACATAGTTCTCCTAGACTGAGTGTCCAAGCCTCTGGGTTTTGAGTGAAAGTGTAGTGCTTCATGTATTTTGGTTTGTTTCTGGCTTTTATGGGCTTCGGTGGATGTGAGTTCCCATCCATTTGGAAGCTGGAACTAAGAACAATAGCATCTAATTGCTACTCTGTGGTAAAGTTCCTATAGATCTCTCATTAGTAGAAAATTTTGAAAACAGAAGCAGACTGGGCATTCCGAATATTAAGATTAAAATAACTTCCAAGTCATTTCAAATATGTTTACAATCATGTAGGAATTTTTCTGTAATCAGAGTTCGAAATTAAATGAATCAGGGCATCTGTGGTGTGTGGATGGGTATATGTTTATTTTCTTTTCTCTAGGGGTTTTTCAGCCTGGTGCTTAAGAACAAAATCCCCTTTGGAAATAATCCAGTGCCCAGCGGTTGTGCTTTGTGTTGCCAATTAAGACTTCGATTGAGGGCTTGATTTGGAATCCTTGGGAAAAGCTTTGTTTCCATTAGGCAAAGGAAAAAAGGCAGAAAATCCAGGGAAGACATTGTAGGTCATACCTTGCTCAGTGGGGATTCGGACGCTCACAATGGAGTAACATTTCCACTGGCTCAAGAAAGAGACAATCACTGTTCTCTGGGCTCATAAGTAGAGCATGACAATAGGCCAAGCTATGTGAACAGAGATCAAAAGAACAAAACTGGTACAAAAAGCGTTATTTAAAAAATGCTCTGTGACAAATGTGAGATAGAATGGCAAATATCTGTTGCTTCCAAACAAACAGCCAATAGTCCTTTGGAAAAATAGTTCCACTTGTTAGAAGCACAGCATCTGTACTTGCACTGAAGTCACTGCTGGGTACGTAGTGTGATTTGAAGAATAGAAAGCCAAACTCTGGCTCCAGTTGATTTTTAAAATTATTTCTAAATCCATTTCCCTGTTATTCAGATCCATTGAAATGTAGGTGATAAATCCACTTTGAGTTTGTTCTCAGTAGCAAAATAGAGGTAGAAGTATTGTCCTGTTGAACAAAGACCCTTGGGACCTGTCCTGTTATCAGAAGTGAGATGGTTCTCCCCAGTAGCTCAAGTAGTTGGCTTTGTACTGTAGGAAAAAGACTTACATATATAGAATTCTGTAAGATTCTCCAAGACCACTAGCGTTCCTGAAAAAATGACTTGGATTTTGCCAAAGATCGGTTTTTAGACAGTGAAAGTTATGAGCTTTTGTTAATTTAATTATTGAAGTGCGTTATCTCAGTCTGTCAGAATTATCTCGAAATTGGAGGGACAAAAGCCAGGTGTGTCCTGGTTCCCTGTGGACCCTCCAGCACTCAGCATAGCGCACAGTGGATGGTCAATGCCTGATAAATGTTTGTTGAGCAGATCACTGTTTTTATCCAGTGTTCGTTGCCCCAGCTGTCAGGACAAATGGAATCATCCGAAAATCTCCAGTCACACATAAGAGCTGCCTGTCAGATTTCTGTTTTCATTGTAAAAGTTTGGGATACTTTTGCAAAATTTTGGAAAACTGATTTTTGATCCCCAGTCACATGATGAAAGAAAACATAATTGTAGCTTCTTATGCTTAAAATTCTTATTAGCCATAAGAGAGACATCTGCTTTTCATATGGTCACCAGTCTCCACTTCAGAAATTTTATTATATCTAAAATGTTAATTGGCACAAATTGTGGAATGCATATGTAATGTAATATAAAGAACCATTTTGTTTTCATAACTTAGAAGGTTGCAGGTTTGGGTGTGCGGGCAGAGAGCAGAGGGGAAACAAAATAAGTGGTGGTGTCTATGTGTTTCTACACCAAAAATACTTGCCTTACGCACTAAAAAATGTGCCGCATTATTGCACAGTCTCTCACAAGCCAGTACTTCTACCACTTTCAAAATAAAGAGCATTATTTTTTACTTGCTGTCCGGAGGGAACACAGCTTCTTTGATATTCCCTGCTGGCTATTTGAGGAGGCTTCCTGCAGTGAGTGTATGGTATTACTCTCTGGCTGCCCTTGTTACTGCACATGTCTTGTCTTGAAGCTTTATTTTCTGTCCTTCACTTTGAGTCCTAGTAAATCCTCTTTAATTCATAAGAGCCCTTGGCTCTCAAAAGGAAATATCTTGGTTTTTTTCTACGTCTGGGACAATAGTAAGATTTTTTTTTAAAGTTTAACATTTTAATGCAAATATGGGAATGACAAATATCTTGAAAGAGTTGTGATGGATTATATCCGCATCTATATATGCAAACCAAATGTTTTCGATTTTGATGTGTGCATCCTGCAATTTACTGAAGCTTATATTTTTCCGTACCTTTATTAATTGCACTCATGTTTATTCTGCTTTGTTTCTGTGCCTCTTATACATAGATTAAACAGATCTGTGAGTCTTCTCAATGCTTGCAGACTGAATAGATCGACACCAAGGTGAGGGGAACTTAGATTTACTTTGTCACCCTAGCTGTTCCTTCCATTGTTTCCATCTCTGTTTTAACACAGTAGCTTAAAGGTCTCGTCCAGTGCCTGCCATTCATCAAGTTGTCAGTCATGTAACTATATTCATCATTGACATTTATTGTTTTTTTTTTAGATTCTCAACTGGTCCTCCAAAACTAGAGTACTTTGGCTGTGCATAAATTGCAAGTGGTCTTAATTAGGGGCCTAACAGAGAGAACACAGCATTGAAGGCCTCAGCCCCGCCACTTGCTGTAACCGCAGACCAGTTGCCCCACACTCCAGAATCTGGTTCTTCATCTGTAAAATGAGGGTAATGATATTGTGGCAGGGGATTTGTGAGGTTTGAGTTAAATCATACAGTAGATGTAAAAGTGCAGAGTACTCCTTAAACATTAACTGTTGCTGCTGCTGCAGTTTTCATCACCAGCACCCCCATGAATTCTTCCAGCCACCAGGCTGAGTGTTCATTATTAGAAAATCAGTTAGTGTTTGCTATAATTGATGAACAGTGGTGGTTTTTCAGCTCTTTCAGGGTGTTTTACCCAGTTCTTTAAGTTGCTGTGAACTTGCCATGAACTCCCACAAGGGCGCCACAGAAGCCATGCTCTGGGCTCTTCTTGCGGCTGCAAAATCTCCCAGGGCCCCAGCAGCTGGTCAGGCAAAGTGTGCTTCAGAGCCTTGTGCTAAAGACTGGGCGGAGAATAATCCTGCTAAGTCAAATTAGCTTGGTGTTTGTCGTCATAGAAACATCTTGAACTTTAAGCACAAAGGCTCCTGTAATTTTTAGACTTTAATCTCAAATTTCAGAAATGTCATGCTCTCTTAAAATCTGTAATTTCCTTGTCCCCAAATTGAACATTCTAAAAACGCACATTTTGACGTTAAGGCACACCCTGCTGATTACAGTTGTAAGATTCTGGCACCATCCACTCAAAGATTCATCAGTTACCAAAAGGACTATGTGGAAAGCGTATTCAGATAATCACCCGGAGAGTGAGGTGATTTTTCAAAGCCAACATACCATGAGAGTTTTAAAAAACATGCCCGGAGATTACTGAGTGACTGGACGTTGCAAAGGAGGGAGGACTGAAAGTCTGGCTAACGAGGGTACAGACAGAGAAGACAGAGGGGAAGGAACGTAGACGGAAAGAGTCACTGGCTACCAAGGAGAGTGGCCAGGGCCAGGCAGGAGCCACCGATATGGGAGGCTTGTTTACTTATGAGGAGGAAGGACGTCGAGCTTTGGTGCAGGAGCAGTGGTCTGGCTGTGTTAAGTTCCTCAGTTCCTGTATGCTCCTTGTTGAGATTGGGTTCCTATGCACCCTTCACTGAAGCTGTGCCCACTGAAGCTACCTGAGACTCCCCACTTCCCGGTCCCCACCCCCTCCTCTGTGTAGCAACAGGACACTTATCTAGCCTGCGCTAGTTTCTGCGCGCCCCTCCTTCTCTCCTGGTGTCAGTGCTACCTCTGACTCCTGCAGTAGATTCTCAGCCCACATCTTTAAACATTAGTTTCCCTGGGGGCTCTTCTCTCCTTGGTCACCACCTCCCTCAGTGATTTCCTCTGCGTCAGTGGCTCAGCACCCACCAGATGGACAGGGCCTGTCCCGAGCTGTCTCGAGCATTGTAGGCTTGTATTCTCACCCACCCACACTTCCAGCTCCAAAATGTCTAGACCAGAACCACCCAAGTCTGGGCCTGTTCCCAGAGCCTGGGCCCTAGAACCAGCCCCCCACCCGCCCCTCCCCTCCTTCATTTTGCTTACAGAGCAGGTGCTGCATTAAAAGCAATTTGTGTCTCTTCTGGTGACAGGGTCAATGTGTGATTCTTCCATTTATTTCATCCTTTCATTTAGTAAATGTGTACCAAACTTTCATATGAGGCTCTGCAAAGCATACGAAAATGATAAATGAGGTAAGATCTCAAGAAAGGCATGGACTAACGATGAAGATTTCTAAATATGTACAGAGAAACCTATACTACAGTTATGTACTGTGTGAGTTTGGGCTACTGTAACAAAGTCCATAGACTGGGGAGCTTATAAAAAACAGAAAGATATGCCTCACCATTCTGGAGGCTGGAAGTCCAAGATCGGGGTGGCCAGCATGGTCATGTTCTGAAGAGGGCTGCCTTCAGGGTTGCAGGTGGCTGTCTTCTCACATGGTGGAAAAGGCTAAGAGAGGTCTCTGGGCCTCTTCCATCAGGGCAATAATTCCACTCATTAGGGCTTCACCTGCTGACCTTATAACCTCCCAAAGGCCCTACCTCCTAACACCATCACGTTGAGCGTTAGGGTTTCCACACATGAATTTGGGGAACACAAGCAGTCCATAGCATGCTCTAAGAGGGAACAATCAGCCTTTACCTATGCGTGGGCTCTGATTTACCCCTGATGCCTGCGAATTCCCTGTGAATAGGGGATCCCTTCTCCTAGAGCGGGCTCTTTCCATCTGTGTCATAACAACACATTCAAGCTGTTCATTTGATCTTTCCCAGAAATTTGCAGTCTTCAGGAAGCCTTCCCCAGGCCGCCTTCTCAGGCCTCAGAGCACTCTAGTCCCTCTGGTCCTACAGAAGGAAGTTGGACACTTACATGGACACCACCTCCAAATGAAGGCATTGTGCATAGAGTGGAACATTTCTATTGTTACCCGTGGCATCCTGTTAGCATTTGTCACATGAGTGCCTTTAGGCCTGAGTTCTTCAACATCAGCACTATTGATATCTGGGGCCCGGTGATACTTTGTGGATGGGGCTATCCCAGGCTGTGTAGGATTTTTAGCAGCACCCCTGGCGCCCACCCACTACGTGCCACTAGCAGTCCACCCCCAGCTGTGCAACAGAAGGATCTCTCACCGGACATTGCCAGATGTCTCCTGGGGGGCACCATCCCCTCCCCGATTGCACACCACCATCTAGACCAAGCTTGTCCAACCCGCGGGCCTGTGGGCCGTGTGTGGCTCAGGACAGCTTTGAATGCCACCCAGCACAAATTTGTAAACTTTCTTAGTACGCTATTTGTTTGCAGTTTTTTGTTTAATTCATCAGCTGTCGTTAGCATTAGTGTATTTTATGTGTTAGCATTAGTGTATTTTATGTGTGGTCCAAGACAATTCCTCTTCTTCCAATGTGGCCCTGGGAAAACAAAAGACTGGACACCCTGGAGAATGAAGCCTGCTCGAGGGCAGGATTGCCTCCCTCCAAGCCCCTGGAGTGCCCTCACACGGTCCTGCCGAAGTCTTCATGCCTCTGTTTCCTCCATGACTGTGAACTGTACTAGTGGCCTCAGTTACAAAGGCAGAGGGCAGAGGTGTTACTCCACGTGACACTCTGAAAAGCTTTTTGATCTCCGTAGCTAGGTCTGTCTTTGGAATGCCCATGTGGAAGTATGATGTTCTGTGTACGTATTTGTGTGCTTAGCAATAAAATAAAATCACAATATTAAGGAGTTCACTGTCACTTCCATTCCACTCTTAGTAACATCAAGAGGACCAGCTCTTCTGAACGAGTATCTCCTGGGGGTCGAAGGGAAAGCAATGGGGATTCCAAAGGAAACCGGAATCGCACAGGCTCTACCAGCAGTTCTTCCAGTGGCAAAAAGAACAGTGAAAGGTAAGGACATCTTATCTCTCAGTTCCTGCTGTTCAGATGTTTTAGCACCTCTTGTCCCCAGAGAGGAGTCAGAAGATCCCCTCATATTCCAACAAGCTAGGAGCACTCTTGGAGAAGAAGGCCTTCTCCTGAGATATTTGTAAGCACTGATCAAACAGCCATTTGAGGGCAGCTGCTAGGCACAGTTCACATCCACTACTGTCCAGGTAGAAAAACTGTCACTCAAGATTACCAGCACTCAGGACATAAGTAGTTCCTGGGAATTTCTTAGCACCAAGTACCTGGAACTGGGGAAGTCATTCTGAATTTCTCCATGAGCACCTTTTATTTCTAGTACACTCTCCTGACCTTTTAAAGTTAATTTTAATGGACTGCTTTAAGTTTGTCAGCAGTATTTTCTGAGACAGGGTGGCTGAAAAGTTATAATTTTATGATTTATCAGAGGCTATGTTTAATATGGATGCTAACACCAGAAATGTGAACCATTTTCCTTTATGGTTTCGTGAAATGTAAGTACTCCAAATTTGAGGTTAGTTTATAATGGATTATGGTATGTATCAGTGAAATTAATAGTAACATTTTATTCCTGAATGCTACCTTTTGGTATTTTAGCAGCTTGTTTTATGTCTGTATAATATATTTATATCATATAATATACTCTGTAAAGAAGATCCAGTTTCTCTATGTATTTCTACCTAATATTATACTTTGTTCTAACTTTTTAAACATTGTACTTTAGTTTTTTTCTCCCTGTTTAGTAAAGCTTAGGAAGGAATTTCAGTTTCAGAGGCTGAGCATGTGTGTTTTTTCCCCAAATGTTCATGTAAGGAGAAGGCTTAGTCATAAAGCAATCGACTCCAACCCACGGGCTGTAAAAATTCCAAGTTTGTAAATCCATGGTGATCCAGTCCTATAAAGGAAGCTTAAACTCTTTTTCAGTTTTATTCCTAAAAGATGTCTGCTGTAGAAAGCATAGAGATACTTCTCACATCTGTAGCAGGTCAAGTCCATGGTCAATTAACAATTTAAAAAACGATTAACATGTGTTCTGTCTTCTTCTCATTTAGACTATTAGTACTTCTTATCAGAAGATTATGCTAATGGGGTGATAATACCTTGGAAATGAGGCCAAGTGGTTACAATGGCAACAGAGTGTGAGTTGGTGGGAGGTGCCACATAGCCCAAAACTTCTTTTAATTCAGGGTAAGCTTGGAAGTTGACCTGAAATGTCTAGATCTTGGCAGTTCTTAGAGACTTGGCTCCTCCTCTGCACATCTGATTTTTATTAAGAATTTCCAAAAAGAATCTGCATTGTGTAAACTCCAGATCCATTTTATCTTCAAAATCCTATGGCTTTGGTAAATGTACTGGGTAAATATTTCCGTAGAATATATTTACAAAGAGATTTTTTAAAAATGCCACAGTAGAAAATTTTGATTTGGAAATGAGGGACTGGGACAATTTGCTAATCATGTTCCCAAACTAATTCAGGCAACTAAACATGTCCATTTAAAAATAAACTCTTTGTCTCGTTAGAACCCAGGCATGGCTGAGGCGAGCATAGCACAGAGCTGGCCAAGTTTCATGCATCGTGCACCGAAGGGGCTTCAGAGACAGTTACTGTCTCCTCTTAGGTAATTGCTGGTCTTGACAGGGGGCCCATAGGAGTAAGAGCTGCAGTAACTCAGAAGGAAGCAGCTAAGACGCAGTAGAAGTGAAGGTAAAGTTGGTAACTCAGTTGCTGTCTGAGCCCTTCCCGCCTTTCTTCCTCTGTATTCCTGTGTGCGCAGCCCCACGCTTAGGGTGCTTGGACCCTAGCACCAAAACAGAGCTGGAGTCTTGCTGAGCAGTGGCACTCTGGGGACGGGACAGGAGGAAGGAAAGCGTAGGAGGCAGCCCCCACGTAATTCCTGTTTTAAACATTACTGCGTTCAGTGGACTCAAGATGCCATGCCTCTTCCCCATTGTTCACTCGGACGTGTCCATTGTTCCCGCAGGCTGTCCTGCGATTTAAAAGATTGTCCTTATTGGGTTCCTGTAGGCAGCAAGACGTGGTGGCAAGGGCACAGGCTCTGCAGTAAAAGAAAGATCTGGGTGTGTATCCAGTTCTGCCTTAACGTTGCCAAGCCTCACTTTTTTCCTCTGCAAATTAGGGATTTATACCTAATTCCCTTGACTCTTATAAATAAGCTAACTTGTAGGAAAATACCCAGCATAGGCTTGGCACTCAGTAAATGGCGGTCATCACTGTGATATTTGTTATAAAGACAGACTTGTGTGGAATGGAGGAAAATAATCAGTGGGGCGTTCTAAAATCTCTCACTTTTTATTGTCCTCATTTGTAAGATGAAGGTGTTAGATTTTGTCACAATCTGGGTTGCACTTGTGTCTAACATGGTCAGGGGAAATAAAATATTGCAGATATCCTTGTGATGTTCACAGTTCTTAAATAAGGCGTCGGGTGGAGTTGGTCTTTGGGCTACAGGCGATCCCAGCCTGTCTGCTGTTCCAGAGCCCCATTCTCTTCCACTCAGGAAGGCTCATTAGGATGCACGTGAGTGAGAGTGCTGATGTCATAGGGATGGCTTCCACTCTGTGCTGCTTTGTAGAAGAAGCAAATCATTCACACAGGCAGTGCTTTAACTTTCAGCCACGACGGATTATTAGCCATAAAGCTCACAGCTTCTCACACGCCATGTGCAAAGCTGTCTTTCGCACATATGGCACTTAGGCGCATATTAGAAAAAGGCTCTCCTTACTTCAGAAAAACAGTTACTTCTCAGCACATATAATACAGCAGATAGAAAGCCATTCTGTATAAATTATACAACTCTTACTACTGAACACAAAATAATAGTGTTTGTGAAGTCCTAAATATTAACCTTTTCTGAGATAATTTATTTAAAAATATGTCTTACTTTCATAAAAATATACATATATATATTTTTTTCTTTTTTTTTTTTTTAAGACAGAGTCTTGCTCTGACGCCAGGCTGGAGAGTGCAGTGGCCTGATCTCGGCTCACTGCAACCTCTGTCTCTCGGGTTCAAGCGATTCTTCTGCTTCAGACTACCATGTAGTTGGGACTACAGGCACACGCCAACACACCCAGCTCATTTTTATAGTTTTAGTAGAGATGGGGTTTCACCACGTTAGCCAGGCTGGTCTTGATCTCTTGACCTCGTGATCTACCCTCCTCGGCCTCCCAAAGTGCTGGGAGGCATAAGCCACTGCACCTGGCCAAAACTATATTCTTTATGATAGTTTCAGTCTTCTAGCTCCCATGTCTCATTTTCTTTACAAATGGTCACTAGATTCGAGTCTGTCTTGTGATATGGTAGACCTTTCTCTTAGAATGTTTAACTTTTTCGAATACTTTGTAACAAGCCACAAAATTTTAACAGCATTTAATCTTTGCACCAACAAAACCTCCATTAAAAACAACAGCAGTGTATGGTAATATTTTACTTTATGTATGATTGATGATAAATGAATATTAATAATTACATAGTGATTCATGTCATCATGAAAGACATTTAAATAGGGAATTGGCAATAACATTGTGATGGAAGGCTTGTAAAATGTAGCCAGTAAACTAATCTGATAGAGATATTTTTCAATTTAAAAAGTATTTTGCATCAGATAGAAAATGGGCTGCCTATTTAGAAGGCCAGTTCATGTTAGATGTTGTTAGATTGATAAAGTATTTCAATTATCAAGCTGGTTCCTCCTTTGTAAGTCTTAGGGGAATGAGTATGTCAGCTCTGTAAGCAAGACACTGTTTCAGCTTTACTGAAAGTTGTTGAAATGAGCTGATTTTGATACAGCAAGGATGTTTCAGTCATGTGCTAGAAACTATTGTTACATACATATAAATCAGGGGGGTCCAATCTTTCGGCTTCCCTGGATCACATTAAAAGAATAGTTTTGGGCCACACATAAAATAAACGAGCACTAACGATAGCTGATGAGCCTAAAAATAGGCACGCGCCACCATGCCCAGCTAAAAAGTCTCATGTTTAAGAAAGTTTATGAATTTGTGTTGAGTCGTATTTAAAGTCGTCCTGGGCTGCATATGGCCTGTGGGCTGTGGGTTGGACAAGTTTGATATAAACTGCCCATCTTTGGAGTCAACAAACATGAAAAAAAAAACACCTCAAAATAGTGAAGACGTTGACAGGTAAGGTGTGGTACCCCTTCATGTTACGCCCCTCAACCCTGGATCAGACAGCCCGTATCGCAGCTCTCAAGCCAAGAACCACTGGGTTGGACACCTTGAGCTCGTGTCCTTTCTAAAGCTCCAGCATTTGATAAAATTGTCTTTTGACGATTTCACTTTAGGGCCCTTCAGGGTGCACAGTTGTTTTTCCTTTATGATAGCATCAGTGCCGCCGTCAGCTCAACATGAATCCTTGGCTGGGGCTCTGGGCCCTTCGTCTGCTGGCTCCTCATTCCCTCTTGTGCCCTGACGTGCATGCCTCTCCAACACATCGCTCATTTTCCCCAGCAAGATTTTTTTCCTTTTTGAGGTCATTTATTTATTATACAAGTAACTTGTTTTAGAAAATCTAGGCCGGGTGTGGTGGCTCACTCCTATAATCCTAGCACTTCAGGAGGCCGAGGCAGGTGGATTACTTGAGCCTAGGAGTTCGAGACCAGCCTGGGCAACATGGCAAGACCCCATCTCTACAAAAACTACAAAAATTAGCTGGGCGTGGTGGCTCATGCCTTCAGTCCCACTTACTTGTGAGGACTGCTCTAGCCTGGGAGATTGAAACTGCAGTGAGCCATGATCATACCGCTGTGCTCTGGACTGGGCAATAGGAGTGAGACCTTTCTCAAAAACAAAACAAAAATCTAGATGCACAAAAAGGAAGAAATGAAAATCACCTGCAGTCTCACCACTCAGAGAACTCACAGCTAACAGTCATTACATTTCCACCTGGACTTTATTTCCAGGGTACTGTATGAGTGTAGTGTATAATTTTGACATAAATGCCA